GATGGTGATGGTGATGGTGATGACGCTGGCAATGACCACTAATTCAAATGCAGCAGCAGTCGATGAGTAGCAGTAGCATTAGTAGCATAGCAGATCATAGCGGCCTCATCCGATTGATGACCTGAACGCATTTCCGAGCAAGGCTCTCGAAAGAAGCCAGCGCTTCGATCCAGCTTTTCTGTGCAGAGCCTTCCTCGTCATACTCTTCAATCTCGATCTGCAAAAGGGCATCCGAAATGCTCAAGAACAAGATCTCAAAAGGCAGATACGAAGAACGGAAGATTAGCAGCAAAGGACTACATCACCAATCCCTCTCCATCTCCTACTGACCTTTCCTGTCCCACCAGAGATGGACTGGATCATTTCCATGTGAGCATACCCTCCCCCCCCNNCCCCCCCCCCCCCCCCCCGAAGGGCCCCCCCCCCCCTCGGCAAAAGAAAGCAAACATCATTGTTACGAGTGTTACAAGCGCAATGCCTGTGCCCACTGCAGTCATAATCAGGCTAATGCTACCGGCCCGGTGTTGCAAGTCGCTCAAAGCCTGGAGAAACCCATCAGTCCGCTCATAAAGAAACCGACAGCATGAATCACAAAGGCAATTCCGACAAATACCACTACCCCCAGAGCAAGCTCTACGAAAAGTAATACGCCTGCCAGCATTTCTGATAATTCTGTTTGGCAGCACTCTTGCTGTGTCTGGAGCTACTTGTATTGCAATGGCACAACGATTCCACATCGGCTATTCGAAACAAGGATGTCAAGAAACCGAAGAGAGCTGAGATCTCGGTGCCCGGAAAGCCTCCTCCCCGAGTAGTCGGAACTCCACTGCGGTGCCCAACCACTCCTTCGCCCTTTCGTCCTGGCATCGGATTCACAGACTTCACTCGGTGTTTCACACCATGTTTTGCTAATGCTGCGCAAACGATGTAAAGTACAAAGCCTTGGCTGCCAGATACAGAGCATCGAAGGTCTTGAAGCCGGCGTCCATGCTGCGTGCAAGGCGACCTGTCTCCAACATCTTCACCTCGCTTGGTGCATGGAAGCTGATGAACACCCGAATGCATGAATAGGAATACTACTATCATAGTATATGATAGTACAATAAGGTATATTATAGTATATTACAGTATATCATGGCATTGTGACATAGGTGAGATAGGTGCTTAACGTGCTTCCTCGCCGTGTCACGCTGGCAAGGGTGCGACATGTGAAGCCATCTGCAGCCAACCCAAGCTCGACCTGCACGGGTGCGTCTGCGAAAGAGAACAAGATAGTCGTCACAAAATTGGGAGCTTTCATCAAGAGTACCAAACACTTCTAAGAGTTTTCAATCAAAGCAAAAACGACAGTCTAGTGAGTCTAGTGACAAGAAGAGCAGTGAATGTGGACTTTCTGGGAGCCCAGAGTGTGGGTCTGCGTTGCAAGTCAGTGTGGGAAGACGGCCTCCAAGATAGCTCGAGTGGATTGCCAAATCTGCCGACCACAACGGCACTGGGCCGAGATGAACGGAGCCAGGATAGCCAGCATCTGCTTGAATTCACCACTACCTTCATTGCAAGTCAAGCATGAAGGCTACAAGCCTCTCTGCTAGTGTCGTGGTCCTGAAGCCAGGAATTGCTCCAACCGATATGAATGACTCTTCCGTTCTGGGCAAGCATCCATCGCCAGCGTTTTGATCGAAGAAGCCTTGGAGATGTTCACGGCCCCATGAAGGCATTGACTTGTGACTGAGAGGGCGAGGACAGACACAAGCTGTTTTGAACAGCTCAACCGGCATTGCAAAGCCGATGACCCTGACCGGTCGTCACTTGCTTCTAAGATGCTAAGCACGTGCTCGCGTGCCATCGACTTTCCTGTGCATCCATCTCCCAGCAGCAGGAGGACCTGATGTTCCTGCAAAACGAGCGAACAACAAAGCCGACGACTAAGGCAACACTGTCACAGCCTTGCAAAACTATCACAGCTCCTTTTTGTCCATACTTCGCTTGTACGCACTCGCGGAGGCGTTGAAGATGTGCGGCGGCAGATTAGGGTCCTTGAAGGCACATTCTCTGGTTCAAAACCTCCCTTGACATTCACTTGACCAGCCGGCCAACGGCTGGGGCACCGACCAAAGCTGAGTACTTCTCGACGTACGTCTCGCCAAAAATCTTCAGGGGTCTGAAGGGATTGATGCACAAGGTCACCATGTTGATGTTGGAGTACCTGTACGTACTTGTCATGTGCACGAATGAAAAGGCAGGAACCGAACACGACAGTCACCGAATCCAGTCTTGCCAGTTGCGGTCCATGCGACGGGTTCGTACTGCAAAACTGGTTACGAAGCGCATCCTGGGCTGTCGGAGTGGTTGTTGTTGTTTTTGCTTTTGTTGCTGTTGCTGTTGACGTTGTTATTACTACTGCCATTATTATGACGATTCTTATTATCGTTGTTACTATTATTACGATTACTATTGCTCTTACTCTTACTCTTACTTACTTTCTTTCTTTCTCATACTCTTACTCTTGCTCCTACTCCTACTCATACTCCTCCTCCTACTCTTCCTGTACTCCTACTCTTACTCTTGCCGTTGCTATAATTGCTACTGCTATAACAATTACTATGTCTGTTTGTATTACAATTGCCATTCTCTTTCAATTACCATTACTATTGCTGTTGCTATTACTATTATTCTTACTATTAACATGACTATTAATAATCCTACATTGCCTATATTTATTACAATTGTAGTTACTGCTGCTACTTCTATGACTATTGCTGCTCTCATTAGTACTGGTATCATTACTATTATTACGACTATTGTCACTATACTTGTTGCTCTTTCTAACATTAATACTATGGTTGCTTTGATTGCTGTTAACACTACTCATAATAATACTGATAATAGATGATAATAATAATAATGACAATTAAAAATTTTAATAATGGTTAACAATAACCATTGTGGCTGCAGGGCCTGGGCATGCCCCTGGAATTGCTCGCCCAAACCCTTCCAAGCCCTCCCTGTATCCCGCCTGCTGTGGAAATAATTTAAATGAAGGCTGCACAACCACTCATGCCCCTCTGCATCACTGCATGTGTGCAACGACAGTGGCAAAATATAGATATTATCTGAACAACACATAGACATATTTATATGTATATCTATCTATATCTATATCTATATCTATATCTATATCTATATCTATATCTATCTATCTATCTATTGTTTATGTATTTAGTTATCTATTTATTCATTTGTTTCTACTTTATCAAGACCAGACTCTTCGACCTGACCAGCGCCGAGCCCATCCTTCTCCAGCGAAGCATAGTTCTGTGCCACTTGCCCTGGTCGCGGCAGCACCAATCGCTGCTCTTCCGGTGATACCACGAACTCCTGAAAAGATCGCACCGCTTTGCAGCTGCCAAACTCGGCGGGAGCTGAATTTCGAATGCTGCACACGATTCTGTTCCATTCCGGCATGCGCCTTCTTGCCCAGCCGAAGGGTGGCGCCTCCAGCAGGAGTCCTGCACGGTGCGAATTCTGAGCTTTGCCACTTGCAATGCAAAAACAGTTGTGTGCTGTCAGTCCTGCTAAGCTTCTGGCAAAGGACCCATTCAGATTCCTCCGCCGGAAACCACACAAATTCCTTTCGATTCTCCATGGCTGCTGCCCAAGGCTCTAAGCCCCGACTCTCCCCCGAGATCTCGACCGAAACTGAAAAAACAAAACATCCCCATCGCGACACCCGCCCACCCCCGCCCCCCCCCTCACCTACAATCTCTCTACCGTGAAACCCTCCGTGCTGCGGGACAGCATGGGGCTGGTGCCTTGCAAACTATGGGGGACATTAAGTTGCAACATCATATGTATGTGTATGTATGTGTATGTATATGTATATGTGTATGTATATATATATAATAGATAGATAGATAGATAGATGTGGGTTTAGAGATTGGGGCCCCGAGCTCGGGCCGGGAGCTGAGGCTTTGGAGCCTTTGGATGGCTGCGCAAGGGCTACTCAGTGAGGAGCATGCCTTGATGTGGTTTAGGGTTCAGGGTTTAGGGTTTAGGGTTCAGGGTTCAGGGTTTAGGGTTCAGGGTTTAAGGTTTAGGGTAGCCATGGATCCACGTCAACATCAAAGCAGAAAAAGCATAGAACTCGTCTGGCATGAGGCATTATGATGTCAGTAGCGCGCTTAGCACAAACACCCGTCTGCAGCTTCGGAGCATCCCTGGAAAACAATTTTTCCATGACCGTACGGTTAGAAGTGGCTACAGGCTCTGCTTTACCTTGGTAAGCCCTCGGTGCCTGCGTGCGGGTATGCAAACATTCGAACGCCTGCCTTGCAACTTCTTTCTGCTGAATTTGGCATTCAACATCCATGTTTCGGTGAGACCAGCCCCCACATGGAGGGCACACAAGAGACCTTCACCTTCACCTGATGTCTACCGGCGGCTGTGGCAGCGCCACAATGGGAGGCCTGGAGAACCCAAAACACCACCGCTGATGGCATTCTTTTAACATCCCCCCTAAGTCCGGCACGGGCTCGGCGTAGTGGCCACGGACTGATCGTACTGGAAGGCGACCTGCGCCTGAATTGCACCGGGGGTATTCTGCATCGAATGCGAAGTCGCAGCTGAGGCCCAGTCGGCCACCTTCTCCGCAGCTTCTTGCCACTGTCTAGCCTCAGCCACTGATCTCCTGACCTCTCCCAGGCTGAGTGCCCAGCACAGCCCAGCACAGCCCAGGCATCTGGCAGAGTCACGGGCTTCCACGGCTGTGGCACGATACCTCGGCAGCATTCGCTACTTCGCCCTTCTCGCGCCGCCCGACTCCCCGCGATCCGCTGCTTCGCTGAGCCTGGCGCTTGGCGGCCTGGGCTTCCGCATCCTCGGCCTGGGAAGGGGGCCATAAGGGTCCGGCTTTAGGACCAGGATTTCAGCACAGGACCGGCCTGGTGTCGCAAAGTTGTGGCTTCGCGTCTCTTCATGCCGGCGGCTATCCTGGCAGCGAAGTTCTCGGAAACGAGACAACCTTTCGGTGCTCACTTCGAGTGGGTCCTGTCCCCCTGTGCTGCAATCCTTTCGGCTTCCTGCTGCACCCTGTCCATCTTCACCTGACGTGCTTTGGGAATTGAAGGAACATTTTCCATGTGCCTCCTTGCAGCCTGAAGCCCCTTCCCCACAAGCATTGAGCATTTGGGTGCCTTCGCCTCGCGTGCCAGCTCCTCTGCAGCTGTGGCGGCCTGCTCGTACTCGGCGACCCGCTGCAGACCTGCGAATCGAACTTGTTTTGTCTCAGGTCGTGTGTCCAAGGTTTGGGGTGCTGGGTGCAGGGCTTAGGGTCGAAGGTCACTGTCCTGCTTGAAACGCAAGCTGGGCCTGTGGTCACAGCGGAGACGTACGGGAATGCTGCTGTATTCACAACCTGAGGCAGTCAAAAAGGGAGAAAGAAGTCTGGGAGATCAGGACATTCAGCTTCCCCCGCCTGTCTCCTGTAAGCGGCCGTATCCTCAAAGTGCATTCGCTGCGAGTAGCTCTCAGCCTCCATCTTGGCACTTTGTGCGGCAGCACCCTGGATCATCCTCAGAGGCTACACAGAGGCACTCAAAACGAAACAGCAGAAGCATAATATGCCTGTCAAGAAAGAGTGTTGCATCCATGCAAGTGTCGTCTTCGCGAGCTGCCTCGTCTCCTCTCCAACCTGCTCCATTTGCGTGCATGCCCAAATGCTTACGGGCGGTGCGTTGACGACAGTAGGTCAGTAGGCGGGCTACGCCGAATAGAATGATGCGTCGACGGCCTGTGGAAAGAGCAAAATCCATCAGGAATGGACATCAGGACAGCCACTAGCATAGAGAAATGCACAAGCAAGTGGGTGAAAATGCAAACAGTCATCACTATTACCATCATCATCACCGTCGTCAACACCATGATACTTACTAACCGAAATGTCACGTACCAGCAACAGCAACAACGACGACGACGACGGAGACTGCAGCAAGAACAAGAAATGTCACAACTTCACAACAGCATGGGCAAGAAGACTAGCAATCAAAACTTAGTTTACAGAAAGCAACAGACACATCAAATCGGGTTTTATCGACAGGCGCCGCGACTACGGCTGCAATAATACGGCTGTCGTGCTACTGCTACGCTACTGTTACTGTTACTGTTGCCGTTACCGTTACTGTTACTGCTACTGCTACTGCTACTGTTACTGCTCCTCCTCCTCCTCATCCTGCTCCTGCTCCCTCCGCTGCCACTGCCGCTGCCACAGCTGTTGCTGCTGCTACTGCTGCTACTGCTGCTACTGCTGCGGCTACTACTGCCACCACTGCTACTACTGCTCGTGCTACTGCTACCACTGCTGGTTACAAAAAACGCGGGAGCGCCGACCTTGCGGAGGCTTGCCTTCGCCTTCTTCAGGGCCTTGGCTTCGGCTTCGGGATACAAAGGGAACCTGCAACTTCCAAGGGGCGTTTCAGGCTGGTAATACTAGTACTACTAGTGGTGGTACGACTCGTAGTACTAGGAATACTGGCAGGACGCGCAATGCAAGTAGTACTAGTTTACTAGTGCTAAGATGTAGCCGTAGCCGTTGTAGGGGGTATCGCGAACTTGGCGGTTGTCGTGGAATGGCTTTTGCTTGATCTCCCATTGGGCCCCGGCATTGTAGCTTTCTGCAACTGCTGCTGCGGCGGCGGAAGCATTTGCCTGGACGTGGTGTTAGAACCTCTCACGCACCATGAGCTTTGCATGTATACCCGCATACAGCAAGGCCAACAAAGCAAATAGCGCAGGTTTACAATGGCCTTTGAAAGCTCAAAGTCTGGCTCGTAGGTCTTGGACTGCTCAACAACGGCTGTCCTCAGATTCCGCAGGCTGCTAGTGCTGCCAGCGATGCTCCACCCAGTCAGGTTTAGCCCCGGCTTTTGCCGCTAGGAGGCTTGATCCTGTCCAGCATCTTGGTGGAACGCTTCATCTCCTTCCAGTGTCGCGCACAATTTCTGCACCACAAAAGCCACCGTTGTAAACATCACTCGCAGATTTACCGGAGGCATGATTCGGAGATAAGAAGCGCAAGTAAAGGTGAAAGTAAGAAAGCACGGCAAAAGGCTATCTTGCCTTACCCGAACTACCCAACCCAAAGTGTGATGTCCCAGTGGCCTGGCTGTGCAGCTTTGCCCGCTCTGCTGCGTAGGCTGCCCGCGCAGCAGCCGCACCCGCCTCAGCGCGAGTTCGCTCGACGACGATGCTGCGCAAGTCCCAGCTGACCTGCAGACAGGGGATGACTCAGCATGTAGCTTTCATCGGCATCTTTGTGCTGGCAGTTTACAACACGAGTACTTGAAGTGCGTTAGGATCTGCGATGGCAGCACACCCTCTTCGCGCATCCCTGCCATTGCATGCCGAACGCGGCCTTCTTCAGCTCCTCCTTGGCTGCTTCATCTGCAGCAGCCTCCACAGACTTTGCCTCCGAGGCCGTCTGGTTGGCCTGAGTTTGCTCTAACATGATCTAACGCCATGGCCTCCTTCACTTTTCTCATTCTGGTGTCACAGGCCGCTAAGGACGGGAGCACAAGCAGGCTTCCTGCAACCAAGAAGCTGGTTTTTTGAGGTCGCCGGGAGACCACTTGGGCGGCTTCGGCAGATCAAAGCCACCGGCTGTCAGGTTGGCACTGTTGGGATTCGCGCACTGCCCACCTGAAGTTACACCGTACATTGCGGCTTGATTTGTGCTGTTCTCTGGCAGAGGTATAGCTCGGAGGAGCGCAGAGTTTGCCTGAAAGCCTAAGATGCTAGACGGGCCCGAATTCAAAGCAGCGGAAGAGCTGCCCTGGCGATAACCCTGCAAATACCCAAAAGAGCCTCTGGCCGGCAACTGAAAGCTGCAGACGTTCGGAAGCCAAACCCGTCAACTGCCCTCAAAATGGGCCACGCTACCATTGATGAGAACGGCAGGCACACAGTTGTGGTAGCAGTAGCGGGCATAGTCCAGAGCACTGCCGGGATTGACATACTGCTCCTGCACATGACCGTCATCACATCAGCCACTACTCCTGTGATGCTGAGGTATCGATTAAAGCAATAGGGATGATGATAATGATGCTGATGCTGATGCTGATGATGATTATGATGCTGCTGATGCTGATGATGCTGATGATGCTGATGATGCTGATGATGCTGATGATGCTGATGATGCTGATGATGCTGATGCTGATGCTGACGCTGCTGATGATGCTAATGATGCTGATGATGCTGATGATGCTGACGATGCTGATGCAAAGCTACGTTGACCTGCAGAATGGCTACGAGCAAACTCAGCTGCATATCTCCCTGTCGTTGGGGCACAATATCCTCAAGAGCACGCCAGTAATTTTGCGAGGCTTACTCTAACCCAAAATTTTGCTAGTGGCTTACGGTTAACTTTCTCCTATGATCATCATAAACACCGAGAGGTTGTGTTCATATTCTTCTCTTCCATCCATTTCACCCCAGGAGCCCGGTGGGATTTCTGGTAACTATGAGAATGGAGCTTCCAGGTTCCCTCTCCAACGCTGCGAAAGGCTGACAGACGGTGGGTCCTCCTCTAAGGTGTGGCGCCGGTCGCGTGCGATGCACTCCATCGGGCACTCTTCCGTCGAGGGGCTCGGATGGACGCACTTGTGTGTCAAGAGCGACCTCGGTGTAAGGCTCCCAGCTACTCGAAAGTAGCAAACCGGCTCCGGAAACAACCTTGGTCAAATGCTGCCAGGCTGCTGTCCATCGGCACTGCGCTCGAGCTCTTGGTCTGCTCGCTCGGTGGCCATGCAGCAGGTGCAGGAACAGGTCTTGAAATCCTTGTCGCCACCACGGAAGGCATTGTGAAAAGAACGCATGCGAATGGCGCCACATACTTCTACAACAGCTCACAGCCGCGCTGCAGCTCAAAGTCCTCAACCTGAAACCTGTAGCCTCCAAAGCCCTTCATCCGCCCAGTATCGAAGGCAGCTTCTTCCAAGGCATCCTAGCAGGGGCGGGCTTCTTGGCTTCTGAGCTTCTCTGCCAGGCTCCTCAGTCTCCCTTGCAGTCTCCTTTTGGAACACGGCTTCCAAGGAGAGGACAAAGGACAGAGTGATGCGGCTTGGAATAGCCCATAGAAACCTACACCTGCCCCTGAAAGCACCATTCTCAGAATTCTACTCCAGAAATCTCAAACCCCTAAGGCCCTAATGACCCCCACAGGTAGAAACCCCTATAAAAAACCCCTCTGAAATAACAGCGAAAGGAAGACCCCTCTGAAGGGGCTCTAGAACCCCCAGAACCCCCAAAGATCCCCTCTCCTCGCCGGCAGCCTCGAGCCGCTTGAAGATCCCCGGCTCGCGCTTCTCAGCGCAGGCCTGGGAGAAGTAAACCCCAGCTTCGAGTGGGGACGATGGGGGTTTCTTGGGGCTTCTGGGACTTGGGTGTAGAGCTTCAAGGGTCGAGGGATTTTAAGGGGTGTGAGATGGTGTCAGGGTTGAGGGCATAGAACTCTGCTAGGCTTTCTACTCCTCCCTTGCTCTCATCCTCCTCTTGCCAGGATGCATGATTTTGCTAAAAGTTGCCCCGAGCCTGCGTAGACAGCAGCAAGGCAACCAGAAGGCGCCCTGGAATGGAAAGGAGGTTCGACTGCAGAGCTACTCGCGTTGAGAGCTGCTTGATTTGAGATGCCCCCCCTCTTTGCTGACTTCAACCCCCCCTAGACCCTAAACCCTAAACCCTACAAGAGGCTGGTCTTCCCTTGCATCGGCCTCCAACGAACTGCATTGCTCTCGGAGCGGTCCGAGCGGAGCCTGCGAGAGACACCAACGGCCCGGGTCCGACGGCAAGAGCACCACAAGTCAAAGACAGGCTTTGACGTGTAGCTCCGGCTGTCAAACCCTAAACATCCCTAAACCCTAAACCGTACGGCCAACCTTCCCAAAAGTCCTAGCCCTCGAACGAACAAAGCCATCGCGTGCCTGTTTTCAGGCTCGCTGCGGCTGCAAGCCCGTGAGAAAAAGCCGAGAAAAAAGCGGGCATGCAGAGGTTTACCAAGTCCTTGCGCGCTCTGCGCACAGCAAGACATCCTGCTGCCATCATCGGCTATCGCGCCAATACACTGTAGCGGGTTCAGCATCCCGGCTTAGGATTTTGGGGGCGACAAGGCCACGGCCAACACTCCTGTTTATTTCCTCTCGGTCTCGCAGCGAAGACCCACGTTGGCATCCCATTTCGCCTGCTTGCAATCCTCTGCAGCTCCCCTGACCGGCTGGAAGAAAGTGAGGTCGTTTATATAATAGAGTGTTCAATATAATATACTCTATCATATTGCTGTAGCGTCGAAGAAAGAGTTCAATCTCAACAGGGCTGGTGGAAGCGGCAGTGACAATAACGATAAGGATAATAGTACGGATTCTTGTCTTGTGAAAGCTGGTTATGGACAACTCAATATTGACGAATGAACAGCCGTAAAGGTAGCAGAAAACACACTGCCCACAGGAACCAAAAGCATTACCGACTCTGCAACAGAGCACAATAGCAACATCAAGAGCAAGGCTAATGGTTGATCCTCGTCCTCATACTCATCGTGCTGCTCCTCCTCCTCCTCATGATCACCATCGTCACCATGATCATCATCACCATCATCATCATCATATCATCATCTTCATCTCCACCATGAACATCATCATAACGACAACGATAACACCAGTAGTAACACTCCAATAGCCATATCGATGGCGATAAACCAGGTACACCATGGTTATATCTAGAACTATGACCGCCGCTACAACTCCGCCATACTACGAATGTACGACTACAGCCAACAGCAATAAGAAAGGCTACGCTTTCTTGGTGATAGCAAGAGGAATAAGGAAAAAAGCATCAGAGTACTCAGAGCCATGATAATCACGCAACATTGGTCCCCCCCTTCACTTGCATGAACGATTGAATGGAAATACAACAGTAGTGATAACCGCCGCCATCTCACAACGACCAGGAGAACCCTAATGATGAATGGCGCTGGTTTCATCGGACGTACACAGCCGTCGCCACCGGAGTGCGGAGGAGTTGGCACCAAATTTAGCATGGGCGGAGCACATCAGGTGACCAACCATAGCCATGTCAGCGTTGGTTCACGCTAACTCATGGCATGCAGCGTGCAGTCATCGAGCCACTGGCAGTCGAGGAAAATTCAGTGGAACTACGGCGTGGCGTCAAAGCTACAAGAGAAAACAGATTCAGGAGCTGCCTTGCGGTGTAGTGCGTTTGAAGCAGGCTTGCAAGCATGACGATGCGGAGCGATGCATGGACAGCTACTAGACGAGCGGCACAACAGAGTGAAGAGCGCTCGAAAACGAAGGAGTTGGCAGCTCCTGGGCTTGTGGTGCAAAGCTCCCCAAGGACTTCTGTCCAGCGAAAGCCACGAAAACTCAGCAAGGCTGGCAATTGTGCTCTACAGGCGTCTGAAGCAGCATACATGGAGATATCAGCAAGTGTAACGGCGCAATTGCCCCTGTCTGCGATTTGCGACAGTGGCAGTTGCTGCAAACGAAAACGCCCTAGAAACAGATGTGTAAGCCTGTTTTAGCACTCAGCCAGCCGCCGTAGGCGGCATTTCTTCGCCAGCAGGTTCGCCACCGCACTGACCTCTTCTCCCAACCAAAGGCAGTGTTCAGGACATACTGCCTCGACCTTAGGTATGCAAAAGTGCAACTGCTGCTGTTGACCAGCGGTGTTGTTCGATTTCCCTTCCCAACAACAACATCAAGCATCAACATCATCAAGTTTACTGCCTTGCTGAGGCTACAATTTCTCTTTTGGCGATGACCATTGATATCAGAAACCTCGCTGATCCACCCTTGCTGTCAGTGGATTGCAAATTAATTTCACTTTGAATATCATGGTTACCATTGCAATCATCACTGCTGTCAATGCGACAAACACTCTCGAGATTCTTGCCACTTGTATCACGATTTTGCCTACTTCCCACAGTCGAAATCAGAACCAGTGATAGCACTACCAGCATCTTCAGCTGCAGAAAAAACCGATCTCATAAATCGCGATAGCAACCATCGCCGTGGATATATAGCTAGCATCACCATTGTCTTCGGTGGCACCACGATCCTCATCCTCGGCGTCATCATGACAACGCGCCACTACCGCCACCACCATAAGCACCATCTCAAGCACCACCTCCAGCACCATCGCCGTTTACCGTCGCCGTCACCAAGACATTATTGTCATAGTCGCAACTTCTAAGTACAAATAGGGGCAGTCAGACATGGAGTGCACTGATGCAGACACAGTTCAGCCAAGCTTCGCTTGTGGTGCGTCGTGTACGGCCACTTGTTCGTGTATCCGTGTTGTCGCTCTTCCAGCATGATAAAAACGCCTGGAGCTAACAATGACTCAAATAGGAGGAACTAACCGATGACCTCGCAATGCGAGTCCGAAGGTCAACACTCTGTGAGGCTTCGGATGCAAGGGTCTTGACGGGTGTACCGGCAGGCATTCGTCTGTGGAAGACTCGCACACCCTGCTGTTGATGAAAGCCCAGTTACATCCGTTTGTCATTTGCCTAAGAGGTTCCGCTGTGCCGGCACACCCACCAAACGGAAACGACCAAGAGACAATTGAATCGATTTGCACAATCATTTCCGTGCAACGGGAATGACGTGCAGGGAAACCAATCAGGCGCAACAACCTCGGAGCAGAGCAAAATCACTTCGCATGACGAACTGAGCCGGACATGAGATCGGACAGCAGGTAGTGACTGAGCCACGGACACTCTCTTCGGGTTGAGCCGGCTGAGGGCGAAGGTCAGGATTGGCCAGGTTGGCATGCAGTGCATCGTCTCGCGGACGGTCCACACTCGTCCGTGCTTGTCACACGACGTTGCGAGATTTGAGACAAAACTGCATGGTGACATGAAGCGGAAAGACGAAGTACTCTAAGAGCGGTTTATCCACTGACTGTATGCCAACAAGACCAATCAAGTGATCGGCTGCAGGAAGAAGCTTCCCCGATGCGTGAGCGACGGCCCGCGACGTAAGTCTTGCTAGAGTCGTGATACTCCCGGAGAGAAGCTCCTTCCTGATAGCCACTGTACAACTTTCCAAGGTCCTACGAAGGGAGCCACTCCAGCTTGGCCGCGCCAAGTCCGCAGCGAAGCACGAGAGAGGGCCCCGGTATTCGGTACATAATTACCATGCTCCCTGTGAGAGATCGGCTACCCTACACTCACGACACCCATGACTTTGATCCGTCTCAAGATTGTGGGCCTACTAGATGATATCGACAGGAATTGCTTCAACAGCGGGCAGGGCACAGCCTTTACAACCATGCTTTGCCAGGAGGGCTTCGCCTTCCGGCACAACCACTTGCAGCGGCAGCAGCAAATCTGAGATCATTCCGCTATCCGGCTGGCGCAAGAGAGGGGGTCTGCGATCACGGTGCACGGTCTGCCCCGAAAGGAATCGACGTAGCCAACCTGATACCGTGACGGCCTGATCCAGACGTGCAGTCACATCGGAAATCCAGGAAGGATGTCCATCTAGGTCAGCTGGAACGAGCTGGAGAAATGCGGATTTCTCGATGTGGCGAGTGGCCATGTGCACCCAAAGATTTGCGCACACGCAAGTGGCTAGGGAACTGAAGCTGCGTCAGGTCTGCTGACTTTGGCCAGGCAACTCAGTCTTAGCCGTGCGTCGCTACCAGTTCAAATCATTTCAAAGTGGAATATGGACAGCGTGCCTCAGCTAAGGGGGCACATGTGGGCACTATAGTCCACAATGCCAACCGACTTCCCAGTCGAGCCAATCACGGAAATGGTATCTTCAATCTTTTGGATTTCCTCCGTAGAAGTTTGGAAGATGTCGGCATGCAGACTCCCCGTGCAAGGTGCAAGGCAAGGAGGCTTAACACAGCCCCGCTTACTGCCAATTCGGTATTTACACGCGTCTGGGCAGCACCTAGGCTGGGTGACATGGACACCTCCGAACCGACTCTCCACACCAAGACAGCTGTGGGAAAGGCGATGCCCAGTCGACGAAACTCGGCACTGCATCGCAGTGCGGATCCCGAGTCTCCTGGCAGCTGCGAAGCAAGAGTCTCGAAGCAGCTTGGTGTCCATCTCTTTTCGGGCATGGCCCTGGTGATGATGATGAATAAGGCAGTAGGTAGGTGATGTCAGCCACAGCCAGAACCACCACCACCACCACCATCACCATCACCATCACCACCACCACCACCACCACCACAATCACCATAATCACCATCATCATCTCGACAGCGACAAGACGAAGAAGAAAAAAGAGATCTGCATCCGATGTTCTGGGAGAGCTTTGGATGTGCCATCTTTCAATGCCGCTACCCTTGGTCGTCCTTTGCTTGCGTTCCGCATCCCCACGAGCTACTCGTATTGTGTAAGCCTCTGGCCTCGCAGGAGAACGACGAGGGTTACGGGATGTTAGGGATATCTCAAGCTCAGGCGCACTTATCCGTCGCCTGCTATTCGGAATTTCGCACAGAACCACCCGGCCTTAGGCAGAGGAGGCTGAGCCTGATCGAGATCGAGCACCCATGGCCTGTTGCGGCCTGGCGGACAAGCAAGAGCACTTCACTTCTCTGCTTCTGGAAGCCTCCGTCTCCAAGGCCCTGGCGGGATGCGCTTCACCCGAGCAGGGCTTGCCTTGTCGTCGTCCTGCTCGGCTCGTCTTGTCGCCGTTTTGCCGATGATACCCGAGTCGAGGAGACCAGTGCAAAAAAGTGGAGAGGGAGGGATAGACAGTCGGGCAGGTGGACAGACCAATTGATCCGCACGCTGTGTGGCAAAGAGTACTGCAAAGAGTCCTCGGAATCGCCCACTTCTGTGCTGGTGTCTGAACCTGTTGCGATCTAGGCATGTCGTGGCTGTCACCAAGGTAACACAGTGTACCTACTGCACTTGTCCTCTGACATTTGCCGGAAGAACAACATGCAGACAGGAGTACAGCTTGCACTCAGGCTGCTGCCAAAGGCAAGCTTGGTCGTATTTCGGGTGCGGGTGTTTCCGGAGACTGCTTGTTCTTCTTCAACCTGACGCTGGCGGCCACATGTGCGAGCCCTTGAAACTCTCACCGACGACACCGGATCTACGAGGGTGTCGTGCCTTCGGCATGTAGCCCAAGAGCGGCATGAAAATCGGAGCCTCGGATCATATATTCGAGTGGCCGGTCTGTCGACGGCATGGCAAGATTGCGGCTCCGATACGCACCCCTACGGCCCCTACCTCGGCAGAGAACTCATAGGGTGCCTGCGCCAGCCACATTCTCAAACACTTTGGGCAGCAGAAACAAAGCAGGCCCAAGCATGCCGGAGAGGCCACGGACTTCGGTTGAAAGGCAGGGGCTTCCGCAGACATCTCCTCGGGTTTGCACGCTCTGAAAGGCCAGGGTCGGGTAGCCTTCAGGATTTAGATCTCAGCGCTCGCATCCCATTCTGGACTTCCCTGCTTCTTGGTGGCCCTGATCTCTGGGGCGCGGTCGTTGGAGGCCGAGGCAAGAGCCTTCTTCTTCAGATGCCTCGGCTTAGGGGAACCCCAGGGGAGATAGGGGAGCCTCCACACCGGAAGCAACCCGAGCGTTACATGACGAAGGGATGGTCACTTCCGTGCACCCAACCAACATGGCGAGCGTAGGGCCCGTCTAAGAAATTTTGGCGAAGTTGTCTGAGAAGACAGATCATACTTCACATGGAATGACATGCAGCAGCCCCGAGACCGTTCGGGCGCCGGCTTGCTTGGCTTTGTCTCCCTTGGAGGGACGAGCTCTGCAGTGACCTGAATCAACATACATACATACATACATACATACATACATAGATACATACATACATACATACATACATGTATACATAGGTACATAACTACCATGCCGTACCATGCCGTACCAGTACTATCCGATCCCATGCCTTGCCATGCCATGCCCTGCCGTGCCATCCGCTACGCTACTCCACGCTACGCAACAATACATTAATTACATGACATTACATTGTTACATGACATTACATGACATTACATTACATTGCATTACATTACATTATGTTACATTACATTACACTATTACATTCCATTAATTCCATTACTTTACTTACGTTACTTTACATTACATTACTTTACTTTACCTTAAATTACATTCCGTTACGTTACATTACATTACATTACATGCAGCAGAAGATGTGGTCTCCGAAGCATGTTGGGACAGTCTTTCTCAGGTGCCGTGCTTGCGACTTCGTGGACCACAAGCCCCATGAAACGCGCACGCAAGGATAAGCTGCATGCAACCGCACCGGACTTGTTGTCCCACTGGCACCCACAGAAATGCGCGACCTTGGCGATCATGAGCTGACGATGCTACCATGTCTACAGACCTGCACATTTTCTTACTTCAGGAACATACTTCTGCTTGGGAATCAAAGCTACACTGCGATTCTTCGCTTGCATGTGCAGCCAGCTCCACTCAAGAAAGAGTTGCGCACATCTCTGGCGGCTCCATTCGTGCCAATTCTGTACCGAGATCCCCACACACCTCTGTGCTGCCAGCTGGTCCGCAAACTTGGCCACAACCTGCCCAATAGCTCCACGATGCTGATGCTGCAAGGCTTGATGCGGGCATGACGTGCAGGATTTGGATGATTTCAGGCTTCTCTTGCTTCTGTCTCCAGCACGACACTGGACCAGCCGACCTCCCCGGCTTTGCCAGCTTGAATGGTGAACTCCTTTAGGTATCCATCGAAGCCAGCTTGCTGGAAGACCTTCACTTCGCTCCGCCAGGAGTTCCAAATCACGAGTTTCGGAATCGCTGAGGTCGAGGCCGCTTCCATCATCACCTGCCAGACGGGCCAATCTAGGCTTGCCGCTTCGATTCCCTAAGCGACAAGGGACGGGATGCCGATGAGGCCTTCGTCAGAATCTTCACGGGCAAGTTGTGGATCACCACCTGCCACTCTCCGGCCTCAGGTGACGAGCAAATCTTCACGGTCGCTCTTGAAAGAAAAAGGAGACGCAGTTCTCGCAAGCACTCCCTGCGACTCACAAAGGACTGTCCTGACTCCTGACTATGCAGAGCTCCTTGGGACAACGCCGGCGTGCGCACTGCTGGCGCCGCGGCGGCCACCTTCGCGAGTCCGGGCGGCGGCAACCTCAGCGCCCTGTTAGCCGTAAACCCGCAAGACTGGCACTTCGACACTGGCAACTGCTGAGGCCAAGACACTTGTGGCGATTCCTTGAACGTTGCTAGAGTCGCTCGTTGCATCTACTACATCATGTACTACGACGACGACGACGACGACTACTACTACTACTACGACTACTACTACTACGTCTCGCTACTGGCTCCTGCTCCTGCTCCTTCTCCTGCTAATGCTCGTGCTGCTGCTCCTGCTCCTTTTTCTGCTGCTTTTGCTGCTTTTGTTGCTGCTGCTGCTGCTGCTGCTGCTGCTGCCGCTGCAGTTCTACTTCTACTTCCACTTCTACTTTCTACTTCCACTACTACCAAAACTACCACTACTACCAATACCACAACCACCACCACCTCAACTACGATTCTTACTATTACGGCTCTTCCGTTTTGCGATGTATTGCTCCACCCACTAACCGCCTTCCTGCGGCCGTACTTAGTACCGTGCAAAAGCCCTGCCTTGGCTGGGACAGCCTTGGGCAGACCCGGTGGCAACTCGATCTCAGAAGCCTCCTGTCTCGGGGGAAACCTAAACTGTCAGGGTAGTAGGGGGTTGTCTAAAACATGTGCAAGGCTTAACGTTGCGAACTGAAGTGTAACATGCGAGCTGGCCTTTGCTGTCCGGTATCGCGTGGCGTCACGCACATCGTAGAACTCCAAAAAGAACGTGCCATCCTTGCAGTGGCTTGGGCTATGGGCATTTGCTACTGACACTTTAGCCACTGTTGTTATTATGAAACCGAGTATAATTATTGCTAGCATTTGCCAGCAAGTATGTAACAAGGGATAATGACTATCATGCCTTGCTGCGAAATTATGACTGCCTGCATTGACATGGACATTAGTGCGGATATGACTATGAATTTTGTCCACGTCATCGAGCAGCAACAGCATCAGGAGCAGCAGCAGTAGCTGGAGCAGAAGCAGCGGCACGAGCACCTACAGCAACAGCAGCAGCAGCACAAACAGTAGCAATAGCAGGAGACAGGAGCAGCAGGAGTACCAGCGGCAGTAGCAGTTGGTAGCAGTAGTATAAGCAGTAGTGATAGCAGTATAGTAGCAGTAGTAGTAG